TATTGGTGCAACTGAGGGAAAGAACTGAGGCACACAGGGTGGGTGGGGGGTCTCAGGATAGGCCCCCAAAGTCCCCGAGGTCCTAATCCAATGCTGTGCCTATCTCGGATCTCTCCTCTTCCTTCTTCCTTTCCTCATTGTGCTGTTTCTCCAGCGGCAGGCACAGATTCTGCAGGACAGCAGGAGAAGAAAGCACAGTGATGGGGGTGGGCAGGGGCTCCTAGGGGGACGGTGGAGTGGGCTCTGGACTGGGGCTCCAGTCCCCATGGGCTTCTGGGAAGCTCAGCTGTCCCCGCAGTGAGATGGGCACAGAAAAGCAGGCTCTCCTGCCTGGCTGTGCAGCCCTGGCTGGGAGATGGCCCTCTCTGGGCCTCTGGGGCTGCCCAAAGCAGGAGCGCCCTCAGGTGGGCACCGCCTAGTCCTCCTTGCCCTCACCTTTTTCTCATCCGTGTACATGACTTCCGACTTGTCCATGCCCATGCACGTGAGGTAGTCATAGAACTGTTGCATTTGCTCCGGGGTCGCCTCTGGCTTGTCAGCTGCAGGAAGGAGCAAGGGGACAGGTTGAGAATGTCAGTGTGTGTGTGTGTGTGTGTGTGTGTGTGTTTTTCAGGGAGGGGTGGGTAACGGACACGGAGGACTGGAGGTCTAGGGGCCCAGCCCTAGGAGCAGGTGGTCCTGGGGGAAGCCTGGTGGGAGTTTGGGGGTGCCTACCATAGAAGGACAGCCCCATGTTCTGCTTGTCTTCTGGAAAGGCAGCGAACATGAAGGTCTTGGGGTCCTTGGGAAGCAGCAGGTGGGCAAAATGTTCTCTGTCATTCTCTGGAAGAGAAAGCCTCTGGGTGAGACCATGGAGATGGCACAGTGGGTCCCTCCTCACAGGTGAGGAAACCTGGGTGTGCTCAGGCCCACACAGCCAATCGGTGAAGGCCAGGGGTTCACCTGGGCCACGTGTCCCTCACTCCTACTGTGCACCAGGCCCTGTGCTGAATGGATGTGGAATCAGAGGAGCCTCTGTGAACTGTGGCTGTCAGGGCTTTTCTCCCCATTTTGCAGATGAGGAAAATGAGGTTCAGAGAGGAGCCTGGGGTGTTGGTTCAATTCCCTTGGCATTTCTGTGTTCCTGCTAAGGGCCTTCTCTGCAGTGATGGTGGGGACATGGGTGAAGTACCGCCTACCCAATAAACAGGCTGCCACCCTTAGGTCCCAGAGGGTAAAGAGTGGTTGAGCCCTGGTTGGTTTGGCTAAGTGGATAGAGAAACGGTCCATGGACTGAGGGTCCATTGTTTAATTCGGCCAAGGGCATATACCTTGGTTGCAGGCTGGATCCCTAGCCCTGTTTGGGAGGCAACCAATCATTGTGTCTCTCACATTGATGTTTCCTTTCTCTCTGTCTCTCCCCATCCCTTCCACTCTCTAAAAATCAATGGGAAAATATCCTCAGGTGAGGATTAATAAAAAACAAAAAGAGTGGTTGAGAGGCAGGACTGGAACCAACCTCGGGGAGAGTCCAGGTCTAATTGCAGGAGGAGTGAGAGAGACCAGTGGGCACCTGTCTCTCCATTTCCTGAGCTGATCACTGCAATGTCCTCCTTGGGTGGTTTGTGAGTATTAAAGTGGGTTAATTCATAGCAATCACTTCAAACAGCACCCGGCACATAGTAAGAGCTCAGAGATGTTGGCAACTATGACTGATGGCTTCAGTGTGCAGGCAGCGGGCCCATGGAGATGGAAGAAGAGGGTGTCTCCGGGCTCTCTGTGCCCAAGGCCCCCAGGTCCCCTCCTTTGGCCTGGCCCACCCACCATCTCCCCATCCCACACAGCAACCCTTCCCTGAGGGCTCACCGGATTTGGTCAGGGTCCCATTTTCCCGTTGGACCCTCAGGATGGTGGAGTTATAGAAGCACTGGTTTCCCCTAAAGCCAGACAGAAAAGGGGAGAAAAACAGTAAGATAGTCAAGTGAAGTGGACTGTCACAATCTTGGAGGGGGAGAGTCAGGTGGCAATTAGAGTCAGCCCCGCCCCCATCCCCTGAGTGAGAAGGCTGAGGCCAGGAGGGGGGAGGGGCTTGCTCAAGGTGTTTGGGCAGCTGGGAGGAGGAGCCAGAAGCTGGGTTGAGCTGGCTTGGGCCATATGTGGGTCTTACATGGTTGTGTACTCTCTGCTCAGTATCGTGTCCTCCGTGTGGTTGGGGGTGAAGTAAAAGAAGGCTGCATGGATTTCGCTAGCTTCCTTCTTGTACTCGGGTAAGCGGTAAGCCGAGGCGATATAAAACCACTTGCCAGAGATCTGAGGAGAAGCCAGGAGCAGGTGATGGAGACTGAGAGCTTAATTGATAGTCAGCTGGGAGGAGACTCTGGCAGATCTTTCCACTTTGCAAATCAGGAGACAGAGGCCCGGGGGAGGGGTGGGGCTGCTGGAGCTCACTCTAGAAATCAGCCTTCACTGACGCCCCTGCTCCCACCCCCCCACCCTCGCCCTGATGGCCCCCACCCAGTGCAGCTTGCCCTGCTGAGGGACTTTGCAAGGCGGCTCTGAGCTTGGAGGCAGAGGAAGCTGCTGGAGGCTGGCCTGGTTCTCACCCCAGCGCCCAGGAGAGGCTGACCACAAGCCCGCAGGGGAAGGGAGTCCAGAGAGGGAGACAGCTCCAACGGCGCTCAGGGCCCAGGCACCCACCTGGTCCAGGGAGGCATTGGTGATGGGCACTGAGAAATTGGGACACGCCGGGCTCTGGGCGTCCAGCAGGGGAAGAAGGCTCAAGACTGCAAGGGCCCAGGGCAGCGCCATGGCAAGACCAGGATGTGGCTAGAGTCCGAGGTACTGGTGGCTGAGGGGTGCGGTGACCTTTATAATGAGCTGTGGGCAGGGCCCTGGGGACCCGCTGTGACACAATCGGTGAGCGTTTGGGAAATGTTATGTGCAGAACATTCCCTCTTTTCCCAAAAGTCAGCCCCAGGTAAAGCCTCCAAGCTCAGGTCTAATTTGGGTCCCTGACCTCGAGATCAGGGCCCAAAGGTCTGGCTGTTCAATGCCAAGGTGGAAAGGGCTGGAGTGATATTAGTGAAGCTGGTAGATTCCATAGAGGGGCAGGTGCTCATGGTTTCATCCAACTCCTGCCCCTCTGAGTGCCAGGACTTGAGAGGGACCCAGTCATAAATCAAATGCTAATGCAACTTGGAGGTTCCCAGGCTAGCCTGGGTGTAGGGGTGATGGGCGGGGGAGTAGTGCAGGGGGCAGGGGAAGGCAAACATGGATTCAGTTCCAGTTGAGTGTGGTAACAACTGTGAAAGACCAAAAGTCCAGAGATGCCCCAATCCAGGACGGGAAGCAGGGACATTTTCCAAAAAACAAACAAACAAAAAACAACACGGGGCGTTAAGTTGAATGTCTATTTTCAGTAAATGTTTTATGTGAACCATCTCCAACATCTGAAACAGGAAATCACTTCTGTGTTGTCTTCATCCTCTGCTATTCAAGTGGGAAGCTTGCTCTCTTTCACCAGCTGCCCCAATCCTGGACCAGTGCCCAGCACACAGTGGGTGCTCAGGAAATCC